ATCCTAGGCGTATATGACTTTCTTCTTTCAGACTAATCCAGTCGGAGTTATATGAAAAATTGTCTTTGACCTTTCAAGCTGTTTTAATGCCACTCAGCGGGTGCTGCATGCATCAGTACAAAAGAAGTTAAATAAAAAGCGACCATCCATAAAAAAAGTTTCTCAGACGGCTCCGGGGGGTGAACAAAGGCCTCCTGTAGCGAATCGATGCGTTTTTGTAAGAAAAATATCCATATTCAAAACGAAATAATCATTTCAATGTAGCTTGTGCCAACAGTCCTAAGCAGCTCCGGGCGGATGACATATGAGTTCAGCGTTGCGCATGTGCCGGTGAGTCTCGTGAAAATGGTTTACTTCTTTAAACAGTCGAGCAGGATCTGTTGTCAGCAATGGCACAAAGGTGTGTTACTGTTTAAGTCTCAGATCAATATGCTCAATAATGTGTCTTTGACCTTATTTTACTCTCCTCACATTCTTTGTTACCTGCCTCACAGACTCATTACTGACTGATGGCTCATTATGGGAGGCCCTTTGTCTCTCAGGTGTGAATCACTAAATATTCATGACCATTGTCACTCCCTCGTATACGGGCATTCTATCACAAAACATGTAACAAATGTTAAATCAATATATTGTTTTCTGTGAACGAGTGAACATGATAATTTTCACATCATTTTGTAGCAAAAACTCTAGTCTACCACATCCAGTTCTCAAAAGTCTTGTGAACAAATATTCTGTATGTTTTATGGCCTTATTTCAGTGACTTAAAAAAAAATAGTTTTTCACTAACCATGCATAAACATTGTTACTGATGGCTCATTATGGGAGGGCCTTTGTCTCTCAAGTATCACAAAACATGTCTTACAAAAGTTAAATCAATATATTATTTTTGGTGAATGAGTGAACAGGATGATTTTTACATTTTGTAGCAAAAACTCTAGTCTACCACATCCACAAAGTCTTGTGAACAATTGTTCTGAATGTGTTTTATGGTCTTATTTCAGTGACTTAAAAATGTAAGTTTTTCACTAACCATGCATAAACATTGTTTTCTCAAAAACACAAACATGTACATTAATGCTGCTCACATATTATTGTAGCCCAGTTTGTGCTGAATACTGTGTTATTACACTTTAGCCATTAATATTTTTTTAAGATACTGAAAAAAACACAAATGTCAGGGCATGTCAAAACTTCTCCAGGGCCCCAAAACACCCTTAGACCTCAGAGGGTTAAGGCAGTTGGGACCACAGTCACCAAGCAAACCATTGGTAACACACTACGCCGCAATGGACTGAAATCCTGCAGCACACGCAAGGTCCCCCTGCTCAAGAAGGCACATGTACAGGCCCAAGTTTGCCAATGAACATCTAAAGGATTCGCTGTGTTTGGAGGGAGAGAAATGCTGACTATGACCCCAAGAACACCATCCTTACAGTCAAGCACGGAGGTGGAAACATGCTTTGGGGCTGTTTTTCTGTAAAAGCTTGGACGGGAACCTCCTTCCCTCAGCCAGAACACTGTAGATGGGTCATGGATAACTCTTCAAGGATTACAATGACCCAAAACATACTGCCAAGGCAACAAAGGAGTGGCTCAAGAAGAAGCACATTAAGGTCATGGAGTGGCCTAGCCAGTCTCCAGACCTCAATCCTATAGAAAATCTGTGGAGGGAGCTGAAATGTCGAGTTGCCAAACAACAGCCAAGAAACCTTAAGGATTTAGAGAGAATCTATAAAGAGGAGTGGATCAAAATCCCTCCCGAGATGTGTGTAAACCTGGTGACCAACTACAAAAAAACGTCTTACCTCTGTGCTTGCCAACAAGGGTTTCTGCACCAAGTACTAAGTCATGTTTTGCTTGGGGATCAAATACTTATTTCACTCACTGAAATGCAAATACATTTCTAACCTTTATATGTTTTTTCTGGATTTTTTTGCTTGGTATTGTGTCTCTATATGTTAAAATAAACCTACCATAAACATTAAAGACCCTTCACTTTTTTTGTAAGTGGGCAAACTTACAAAATCAGCAATGGATCAAATAAATATTTTCCTCACTGTACGCAAGTAATATCTACCGTCTTTGATGTCAACACATACTTTCAAAAACTGAAGGGGGAGAAATATTAACAAGCTTGATTGACCTGATAGATAAATAATAAATCAATAAATAATAATAATAATCATAACCTGCCAGGCTATTTTGATATGACTTCTTTATCTCCCTAGAATAATGTGACTGCTCTAGAGAACAAAACAACAACAAAAAAAAAATCATTATCGTTCATTTGGAGAACTGTTTTAATCTGCTGATAAAGATGCAAATGCATGTTCATCTATTTTAACCTCTTTTTTGTTTGAAATAAAAACTTTTTTGGAATTTAGAGCCATTCAGACAGAATCACGTTGTCCAGAATTATTGCTTCTTTCAAGAAGACATGATCAGTTATACTGCTCATACTGAAGACACGGATCTATTACACCTTCCTGTAGCATTCAAGTTCTATGAGATCTCACTCACACACTCACACAAAGCTAAGCATGAACTAAGATTTTACAAAAAACAATTACATATGCATCATATGCTCTTTCAATCAGACGTTAACAATAATTTTCAAGTTACCACCTAATAAAAGTTGACATTAATTATAAGAAGAATGTGTCAGGCAGGAAGTGATGTAAGAGAAGCATCATGCTTGTTTTAAATGTAGTCAATGCTATTATTTTGTTGATTACATTCATTGGCCTGTTGAGGTAAACCGTGTTCTGAGAAATACAAGTGCTAGAATCATATTTGTTTATAGTGTAATGACCACTATAAAGAGATGCAAGATGAACGACGCAAGATACAGAAAAGCTGATCTTTGGACCAGCAGTTGTTTCGTAACGATGGAGTTTCCAGCACCAAATCTTTCTAGACAGCAGATTCTCCTCAGTGCTGAAGATGTTATTGATTCTGCTTCTTTGAAAGGTACCTATTGGACAAAGAGACAGAATTATTAGGGTTGTAAAAATAATTTATTACACACTTGTATTGAATTAATTACACCATATGCTTAATAAATTAGAATTAACCACAATTAGTCACATATCTTAATTTGGGAGACTTTTTCAAAAGACAAATTATTGTGAGACGATGGCATTGAAGAGACAAAAAGTGTTAAGTGTTAATTCATTCATAGCTGCACACAGTTCATACCTGCGTTATTTTAGTATCACTGATATCCCATTATAAT